ATAGGCAAACACAGAGTATGGAAAGAGATAACTAGATAGCAAATCCATTTCTTATATCTGGTGTAAATTATAACAACTTTGTCTGGTTAGTGGGGAACGTATTTTATTGATGCGTTACGCATGTGTAACATAAATGTAAATATCAAAATAAGAAAGGTACTTAGAATTTTTATTGTAAAAAAATCCTCATAAATTCCGCAATTTTTTAAAAAGATCCCCACTAAATCCTTATGTCCCCAACTTGAATTTTTCGTCCCCAACTTGAAAAAAATATCCGCTTTTTGGGGAAAATTCCTCAATACTGGCAACACTGCATACAACAAACAGACCACTGAGAATGAAGCAACAGTGATTGCAGGGAGAGTAAACTAATTGTTGGTATCAAGGTAGATCTAACAGGTAACCGCATCGGCGAATTGCTACAACAAAGCAACTTTTGTGGTCCCCTCAAATGTCAAAATTGGCATCTAAGGCGAAAAACATAGATTCGCCATGACATTTAAAGGTTGCGGCAAATTTGTTTCAACCAATCAGAAACGAGGTGTTTGTTTACATTTTATTTTGTGTGCCTCTCGTCGTAAACGAACGTCGTTTTTATTGTAAAACAAATAAGAGTAAAATAAGTATTAATTGTATATTTTTTAAACCAAGAAACTTATAATGACTATATTTTACTGGTTTAAACCGAAAGTTTTCCGGAACTGCAAATGACAAGAGTCGAATTCTTGCACTACTTCCCGTGATGTGCTTTGGGAATTTTAGATGTTGAGGCTAACTTAATTCTTAAAGCTGCACTCCATTCTAACCTCCTTCCTTCATGTTCTTTTAATTTTTTTTCTGGTTTCACTCTTAACTTGCTCTTAAATTATTTGAAATATTATAAAAAGGTACTTTTAGGGAAGACAACATAAACAAATTTGTTGTTGCATTCATTTAGGGCGAATTCTTCATTACAACAATTTGTTTTGGCATTTAATGGTGCCGTCAGCTGGCTGATGCGATTACCTAGTACATCTACCTTGGTTGGTATGTTTGTATATTACTATTGTTGAGAACACACTAATACAACGACCAAGAACCAACAATGAGAGGTGGGGAGATAAAGAAAATGTGATTTGTATGATTGGATAGAAAATTAGAATATTTATGTATTAGTGTTGAGTGTATTAGAATAGAAAAAATAATTCTCAACAGAGCAAGCAAAGAGTTTGCAAAATATGGCAGAAATGAAAGCACTCTATGACGGCAAAGTAGTTTAATAAATAATTTAAATTTGTGGTAGGTGTTGTCGAAAGAAAAACACAATATTCTGGTTAATAATAACTATTATTTTGCAACAAATGAAAAATATGGCGATAAACGTTTATTAAAAAATTTTGATTCACTTTCTGAGCGATGATTAGGGGAAAATGGACTGTATTTTATACGATGCCGTAAAATAGGGTGTAGATAAAGCGACCAGTACCGCGGCACGAATTTAAGCAACACTTTTTTCATTTTGTTTTTTTTTTTTTTTTGTTGTTGTATAGAAAAATACTGAACTTACGTACCTTATTATTTCTTTTTTATGATGATGATGATGATGATGTGTATGATGGTGAGGTGAGGGATATGAGGGTGAATGTGTTGCTGGAAATTCCTTGTGAAAAGAGAAAAAAAACCCAGCAATTAAAACCAGCCAAACGACAAGAATCCGGTTCGATGCGACCAAATGTTTAGGCGCAAGGGTTTGTGGGGAGGAGAAAAGAATCAAATAAAAACACAACAGTAATTAGATTTTAATTTCAATAAGTTTGGTGGTTACTACTATCGATCACTGCTACTACATCTACAATTATTTCCAATGAGAGCAGAGTCTCGTATGTATCAAAGTGAGCTAATCAACAACAACCACCGCCCGGTGACATCTGTGCTCTACGGTCTCCGCCGAGGAGATGCCCGTTTTCAATCAGCATCCGTGATTGACTGATAAAATGTGGGCTGTATCGTGATTTCAATAGACAGACAGACGGACGTCGTTAAATCGACTTATAACTTTATGATGATTAATATATGTACTTTATGGGGTCTACGACTAATATATAGGGATGTTACAAACGGAATGACAAAGTTAATATACCCGGTACCTCACTATATTCGGTGTTTTGATCATTTTACCTACATTATTCCCCTTTTTTGCAAGTTTCGCATTTGAATATTGTAATGGCTTCTGACAAAAATTGCCTATGCAGGTCCACGATTTCGAATAATATTGCATGTTCCGATATATTTAATTTTCAATTTTCAATAGCAACACAATACAAAATGTTCTCTTCACCGATTTTTAAAGAGACTGGATTATTATTCCCTACACCACATTGTGGTCAGGGTATCACGTTTTTGTGCTATAAAGAATACCCCCCACCATTTGGAACGAATTTAGCAATTTTTAATAAAATAAAAATCAATTACAAAATTCTGTTAAAATCTTAAAAATGCCGAATATAGCCGTTATATTGAAGTTGTCTATTCGAAGTCGTGGAACTGCATAGGTACCTTTTGTCAGAAGCTATTCAAATGCGAAACTTGCAAAAAAAGGGGAATAATGTAGCTAAAATGATGAAAATACCGAATATAGTGAGGTACTGATATAGGGGGCTATTCGATGAAGAGGACCTACACGGACAATTTTCTGTCATAGACTGTAGTATCCATTACGAACTTCTAATGCCAAATTTGGAACATTTTCGGTGAATAATGTCGATAAAATCATCAAAATACCGAATATCGGGAGGTACCGTTATATTCACCGTTTATTCGGTATTTTTAAGATTTTAACAGAATATTAAAGGAATTTATTTTTTAAAAATTTCCAAATGGTGGAGGGTTCTCAAAGTTCGGTCTGGCCGAACTTACTGCCGTTTAACTTGATGGGTAATGCAATGGAGAAAGTCGTCCATCAATGCGGTTCATATGCTGTTAGGGCCTTGATAGATCCGGCCTCTGAGTCACAGAGTGACTTTAAAAGAAACTAAAGCTTCCTGGTTGTTCGTTTAACTCCACCATTTCGGGTGTTAATTGTTCACTTGCAGTTACGTCAAAGAATGTTTGTAATATTGAAATCAGAAGTAGCCTAGGCAATTCGTTGTCCCTGAAAACTCCAGCGGTTGTGCTGAATTCTATTTCACGAAATGTAGGTTGATAAAATTTTACTCAAATGTGTATTATGTCTGAAGGACTTTTGGTATTGACCCATGTTGATTTTAGACATTTTTTACCGGAACTATTTCAAATTTAGTATTTGAAGAATGGATACTACAGCCTATGACAGAAATTTGTCTGTGCGGGTCCACGTATTCGTATAGCCCCCATATCACGGAACCCCCTATATTCGGTATTTTGCTGATCTTAGCGACATTATTTACCGGAACTATTTCAATTTTGGTATTTGAATTTCATAATGAATACTACAGCCTATGACAGAAAATTGTCTGCGCGGGTCCATGTCTTCGTATAGCCCCCATATCACGGAACCCCCGATATTCTTTATTTTGCTGATTTTGGCAACATTATTTACCGGAACTATTTCAAGAACAGTGTGGCTTGTTTGTTCGGGATACCGTAGTATTTTGTTGTTGCAAAATTTTTAGGCTTTATCCCTTTATTGTTGTTTTTATAAAAACAACGTTTGTTTATTAGTGGAGAACGATGGTAATGTTTACCAGGGGGTAAGGCAGGGAATACCTAGGTTTCGGAAAGAGCCACCAATCCTCATCAGTTCCCTTGTTTTTTGTTTGGGATATTCTCCCCAGAAGTTATTTTAAAAATAACTTCTATGACAAAAAACATTTTTTACCCAAGTGACGAGATCGTAAGCTCAACGAACGTAAGCTTCGACGAAGGGGTTTTTGTTGTAACAGACAAAACCAACTTACATGGTTATGCTATTTCGTTCAGGTTGAACGAAAGCATAACAAGTGGAGAAAGATGTAAATGTTTATAAGTGTGGTTGTAAGATTTAGAAGACTTTCCAAAACAATTTTAGTTTTATTTAATTCTTTGGTTCCTCTTCTATTGAGCTTACGATCTCGTCACTTGGGTAAAAATGTTTTTTGTCATAGAAGTTATTTTTAAAATAACTTCTGAGGAGAATATCCCAGACAAAAAACAAGGGAACTGATGAGGATTGGTGGCTCTTTCCGAAACCTAGGTATTCCCTGCCTTACCCCCTGGTAAACATTACCATCGTTCTCCACTAATAAACAAACGTTGTTTTTATAAAAACAACAATAAAGGGATAAAGCCTAAAAATTTTGCTGGAACTATTTCAAATTTGGTATTTGAATTTCATAATGAATACTACAGCCTATGACAGAAAATTGTCTGTGCAGGTCCCCGTCTTCGTATAGTCACCATATAACGGTACCCCCCCGATATTCGGTATTTTGATGATTTTAGCGACATTATTTACCGGAATTATTTCTAATTTTGTATTTGAAGTTCGTAATGGATAATACAGCCTATGCGGAAAATTGTCTGTGCAGGTTCAAGTTTTATAACCCCCATGGTACCTCCCTATATTCTGTATTTTGATGATTTTAGCTACATTATAAACAGATTTTTTTTTGAATTTCTCATTTGAATATTGTAATAGCTTGTGACAAAAGTTGCTTATGCAGGTCCACGTCGTCGTATATAACAGCTACATTCGGTATTTTTAAGATTTTAACAGAATTTTTAACAGATTTTATTATTATTATTATTATTATTTTTTTTTTTTTGAAAGTTGCCAAATTTGTACCAAATAGTGGAGGTATTCAAAGTTCGGCCCGGCAGAACTTACAGATTTTTTACTTGTTTTGCAATTTCACCACTCTGTGTGTCGCTTTCATAATCAAATACTAAAACTTGTACACCTATGTACTCCTAATTCACATAACAATTATTAGGAAATATATTTTATTTCGATATTTAAGAAATTTTCTTGCACAAAATTATAATTTTATTCCGCTCATTCTTACCTATTTTCTGCTGATGAATCCGCTTTTGTTACAGTTGCGGATGTTTTTTCGTCTTTTTTGTCCATTATTGTAATTTTGCTAATCTGTTTGGAAATTTGCGTTGCTATAGCTTTAAGAGAACCGAACACTTTTACAAATACTTCTATATTAAAGTTTGCTTGCTCTGTGTTGCTTTACCGATGTGTCTGATATGTTTTAATGAAATATACTGGAGGATCACCAAGTTTGAATCTTCTAGAGTGACAATCATAGGCTAATGAATATCGATTACTAATATATGCAACGCAAAGCAACTTTTGTTCCGCAGTAAAGCATTGACGAAAAAATGACTAGACGACAAGAGCTTTCATTATAATTTCTTAACAGATGTCGCCGTGCGTTCTAACTAGTGAGTGTATGTTTGCAAATACAATACGTTAGGTTGAGTCGTTAAAGATCAACAACAACCCTTAACATGAGTCAGCTCTGTTAAAGTATAACCATAGACAAATAAAGGTATAGACTAAAAAGCTTTAAAATTTACCCCTTCCGGCAGATGTCACTCTGGTTTATCGTGGGCCAGTGAAGTCACTCATGGCTAGTGAAGTCACTCGAGTTCGAAAACAATTTATTCATTTTTCTGATATTTAAGCTTTATATTTTTATATTATTACAAAATTACTGTTTAGTTTTTAATTGATAAATAGTAATCTATATATATAAATGAAAGTTGTGTTAGTTACTACGCTTATAACTTAAGAACCGCTGAACTGATTTTAATGATTCATACAAATTCGGAATTGTCTCTTATCCGAAAAGGATAATATCCAAAAAAATCGGTAAAAATGTGATATGTTAAAATTTTCATTTTGACTTTTGAAATGTACAATAGTAATGTTTTATTTTGCATGATTTTTTCCATTTTGACTTACTTTTTTCTAATGTACATTTGTAGTGTTTTTTATATTTTACTAGCTGGCCCGGTCCGCGTTGCCGGCCCATAGTTTTTGTCTATTATGCATATTTGTCAAAGCATGATTATTCAAAGATATGAATGTTATAAATATTCACGTACTGGTCGATTAGTTTTTAATTTTTAGTCAAATGAGCAGTAATTTGGAATTTACTGTACTTTGTACAACTCGTAATTGAGGGCTAATTGATTTAAGAATAGGCAAAGTTAATTACTTTTTTGAACCCATTAGCACCTCAGATTGTGCATTAGAGTCCTCATAAGTCCCCCTAACCATGTCGGTCTGTTTGTCCGCCAAAAGGTGGACTTGAGGGGATACTATTACATGGAGAAAATCCTAAAATTTGTAGATATGTTGAAATTTTTGTGTAAGATTTTCATCCCCAAATACTCATTTTTAGCCAAATCCTTTGAAATATGGTAAAATGCGAAACATCGACCTACATTGAAAACTTTCTTCACCCCTTATAATCCAAGATGACAAATAGAGGCCAAATCAAAAATATAGCTATTTTACATCCATTACCGTAAGATGGGAATTAATTTTATTTGCCATTTAAATTGTAAGTTGGAGTCCATATTTTTCATCATAGTATAATTTAATGACGATTCAACAAATATTCGGTCCCGTGCTAATTTCTTATATTTGTAATTTGTTCATGTTTTCACAATTTATTTCATATAGATGTATATCCCAAATCTACGTTCCCAACCAATATTCTCATGGGGGTTACAAATTCAATAGAATACAATTTTTTCTTTTCTGACCACACATTAGATGTGAAAGTGGACTTGGGGATACTCCAATGTGGGGACTTTACATGAATAGATTTCTATGTGGCAATTATCTGTACGATGGTTCCTTACCCCCCCCAGGGTAGCATAAATAAAATTTTTTAGTGGTCAAGACCAATATGGGCCCTACTCCGAAAATTTTATGCGAAGAGGTTCTCTACGCCCCTTAGAAACAAAGATGCAAAATAAGGGCCAAAAATAGAAGAAAATGGCGAAGACTCCAAAAATGGCTTAAATCATACGATGATTATTTATGATCGATATCATGACCTGCTAAAGCGATTTAAGGTATCTTAAATGTTCAGGCAGAATTTTTGGAAGGATAGAAATCCTTTTCTTACTAAAAGTCCCATTCGCTCTACTATTTTGCACCCTTTATATTTGGTATTTTACTGATTGTACTCCCAAAAATTTTTGCATTTTGAGCTCTCATTGGACGGATTATTGTCACATGAAAGAAGTAGGGCCACGCTTTGAAATAAGCCCCATTAGTCTTTTTCGGTCATTTTTGTTTGTTTAAATGTCTGCGCATCTTCCAGCTGAAGCACGATGTAGGTCCTGGAGTTGAAAGGTAGATGTCAGTTACCATCGTATTTCGCACTTATTTAATTTTTTTGGTGAAAAATTGTATATAGTGAAAAATTATTCTTTATTTTGTTCACAAAAAATCCACTGAATTCAATATGATATTACAAATTGAAAAAAATTGACAAAAGAAGAATAACAAATTGAAAAAATCTTTAACTTGTTCGCTGATTTTTTACAGCAACTGTTTAAAGATCCTTACAAAGCTTGTCAATAGAATGTACTTTTATTTTAAAATTCAATTCCATTGGAATTTTTTTTCGATATTTTCCCGTTTTGAGAATTGTTGCAATGAGATCTCTTTTTTCGTGTTTCTTTTTAACGATTTTGAAAAAGTAATTTTCTTTTAACTTTGGTGTGACCGCATTAAATTATTTCGGTATCATCTATTCCGTTTCGCCACCACATAATTCGGTACTACACTTCTATGTAACCCGTTATCAATTTCAGTTCTCAAGAAATCAAGTCAATTAAATAAATTGGTATTAATATTCGAATTCAAAAATAAATATAAAAAACACTACAAATGTACATTAGAAAAAAGTAAGTCAAAATGGAAAAAATCATGCAAAATAAAACATTACTATTGTACATTTCAAAAGTCAAAATGAAAATTTTAACATATCACATTTTTACCGATTTTTTTGGATATTATCCTTTTCGGATAAGAGACAATTCCGAATTTGTATGAATCATTAAAATCAGTTCAGCGGTTCTTAAGTTATAAGCGTAGTAACTAACACAACTTTCATTTATATATATAGATTTTTGAATTCGAATATTAATACCAATTTATTTAATTGACTTGATTTCTTGAGAACTGAAATTGATAACGGGTTACATAGAAGTGTAGTACCGAATTATGTGGTGGCGAAACGGAATAGATGATACCGAAATAATTTAATGCGGTCACACCAAAGTTAAAAGAAAATTACTTTTTCAAAATCGTTAAAAAGAAACACGAAAAAAGAGATCTCATTGCAACAATTCTCAAAACGGGAAAATATCGAAAAAAATTCCAATGGAATTGAATTTTAAAATAAAAGTACATTCTATTGACAAGCTTTGTAAGGATCTTTAAACAGTTGCTGTAAAAAATCAGCGAACAAGTTAAAGATTTTTTCAATTTGTTATTCTTCTTTTGTCAATTTTTTTCAATTTGTAATATCATATTGAATTCAGTGGATTTTTTGTGAACAAAATAAAGAATAATTTTTCACTATATACAATTTTTCACCAAAAAAATTAAATAAGTGCGAAATACGATGGTAACTGACATCTACCTTTCAACTCCAGGACCTACATCGTGCTTCAGCTGGAAGATGCGCAGACATTTAAACAAACAAAAATGACCGAAAAAGACTAATGGGGCTTATTTCAAAGCGTGGCCCTACTTCTTTCATGTGACAATAATCCGTCCAATGAGAGCTCAAAATGCAAAAATTTTTGGGAGTACAATCAGTAAAATACCAAATATAAAGGGTGCAAAATAGTAGAGCGAATGGGACTTTTAGTAAGAAAAGGATTTCTATCCTTCCAAAATTCTGCCTGAACATTTAAGATACCTTAAATCGCTTTAGCAGGTCATGATATCGATCATAAATAATCATCGTATGATTTAAGCCATTTTTGGAGTCTTCGCCATTTTCTTCTATTTTTGGCCCTTATTTTGCATCTTTGTTTCTAAGGGGCGTAGAGAACCTCTTCGCATAAAATTTTCGGAGTAGGGCCCATATTGGTCTTGACCACTAAAAAATTTTATTTATGCTACCCTGGGGGGGTAAGGAACCATCGTACAGATAATTGCCACATAGAAATCTATTCATGTAAAGTCCCCACATTGGAGTATCCCCAAGTCCACTTTCACATCTAATGTGTGGTCAGAAAAGAAAAAATTGTATTCTATTGAATTTGTAACCCCCATGAGAATATTGGTTGGGAACGTAGATTTGGGATATACATCTATATGAAATAAATTGTGAAAACATGAACAAATTACAAATATAAGAAATTAGCACGGGACCGAATATTTGTTGAATCGTCATTAAATTATACTATGATGAAAAATATGGACTCCAACTTACAATTTAAATGGCAAATAAAATTAATTCCCATCTTACGGTAATGGATGTAAAATAGCTATATTTTTGATTTGGCCTCTATTTGTCATCTTGGATTATAAGGGGTGAAGAAAGTTTTCAATGTAGGTCGATGTTTCGCATTTTACCATATTTCAAAGGATTTGGCTAAAAATGAGTATTTGGGGATGAAAATCTTACACAAAAATTTCAACATATCTACAAATTTTAGGATTTTCTCCATGTAATAGTATCCCCTCAAGTCCACCTTTTGGCGGACAAACAGACCGACATGGTTAGGGGGACTTATGAGGACTCTAATGCACAATCTGAGGTGCTAATGGGTTCAAAAAAGTAATTAACTTTGCCTATTCTTAAATCAATTAGCCCTCAATTACGAGTTGTACAAAGTACAGTAAATTCCAAATTACTGCTCATTTGACTAAAAATTAAAAACTAATCGACCAGTACGTGAATATTTATAACATTCATATCTTTGAATAATCATGCTTTGACAAATATGCATAATAGACAAAAACTATGGGCCGGCAACGCGGACCGGGCCAGCTAGTAAATCATAAAAATATTCAATATTTTGTATTTTGAGAGAATTGAGTGAGTCCACTGAACCTCTCTCACAGCATGAACGACATCGAAATGTTTTTTTCGAAGATAACAGATGAGACAACTTTTTAGTCTATACCTTTATTTGTCTATGGTATAACATAGTGCTATGTCACGATATCGTGACATAGTATACCTGTTTCAAGACGTAGTATGGAGCACAGTTGCCAAGGTGGTACAGGGCAAATGACGTTTTATTTGGTTTCTTCTGTAAGTTTT